TATGATAGGATCATGCATAGGATAATAGCAACGACCATTTCCATTCAATGAGTCATTTCATAATGACTTAAGTTTTAATGTAGCTAAACGTGAAGCCATACGTCTGGCTAGCCCAAAAGGTTGGAAATAATGAGGGGTGCTGCCATATGCATGTATTTCTATTTTCTAGTTCTATACTATCTTACAACTTGCGTTTAATAAACAAACTTCAGCTGCTATTATGCTGCCGTCTTGTGATGCGTTCAGAGTATATTTAAAATCGCCATTTTTTTGAAACCGCATTTTGAAGATATTCGCAAATTCATGAGTTTTGATGAACTTGATTTCCGAGGAAGCTAAATAAAAAGACAAATAACAGCATAATATTGCTTAGAAGCAGATTTCGTTGAAACAGATTCCTATAACGGTATCCAGTTTTGAGCTAGGGCACAAAAGTAGGTAGAAAGAAAAACGACATGAGGCTGAGGATACAGGTCAGCTTCTCCACGACGTTGATTTTATAATCCTCTTATTTTAAAATTGTAATATTAATGCTATAATTCTCTTATTATTACTATACTAATTTCACCACTAAATTCACCACTTGCATAATTGGCCAACGTATGTTGAGATCTAGGTAACAAGAAGGAAATAAAAAGAGCATACTGAATTTAGTATAGTTGCCAAGTTTGGCTACAAAATGTCGAGTAGTGCGGAAACGAATAGAACGAATAGGAAATAGAACGAATAGGAGTGCAATTGAAATGCCAAAATCATACTGCGAGTTACAAAATCAACCGAGCGCGTAGCAGGAGTCCAAGAGTATGATTTTGGCATTAATTTCACGACTTACTTCGTGCTATTACTTATTAATAATATATCTTCTGTAATTTTAATTTTATCACAAATGTTATCACAACAATACTTGGTAAATAGTACAATTTGAAAATCTTAAAATTTAGCATAATTTAAAATTCATATTTTGTACCTGAATGGTCATTGGCTAGTTGTATATACTACAGGGTGTATAAAAAACTGGAAATCAAACTTGGCCGATTTAAGACAAAATGAAGCTAAGCGAATTTGTAATTATTTTGAGTTTTAATGCGTGTATGCGCCAATCATGTTGTCTAATAATTCCCAGCGGTAAACGAATGTGGTTTTCGACCAGCAATTTTCAACATGATTAATTCTTCATTTCTAGCCATTATACAGGGTGTATCAAAAAAAACGCAACCACTTAATATTCATGAATATCCTCTTTGTTCTACAACACAAAAGACGTTTGGCCCCTGGAATGCGAGAAAGCTTGTAATCATATTCTAGCGGCATAATCGTCGGTAAACAATGTCAGGTGCGTAAACCAACGAGCTGAATTGAAAGTATTTAACGAGTAAAATTTTACTTACAACTTATTTTATAAGGTTGACAATAAAAACTCGTCGTCGGTTGTTAGCTGCACCATTATTAGTTTAGCTGATTTGACTATTAGCAGTTAAACTGTACGATTAGAAGCCATTTTAAAATCCCAGGGGCATAAAATCTATTGAGCTTATAAACAATATGAATTTTAGAATATTAAGTGGTTGCGTTTTTTTTGAGACACCTTGTATATATCCCATCAAAAATACTGGAAAACTAAATAACTCTTCTTATATATATAATTTATAGCAATAATCTAGCTTACGCAGCTCTTCAAGATTTGCTGCCACAATGTATTCACCATCTACAAAAACATAACAAAGAATGGTAAAAATCAAATTCTATTTTACTTGCATTTATAAAATTGATTTCTTTAATTTCATCAGTGAAAAAATTCCGTTCACGGATTTTGTTTTACGAACGACTTGTTTCACCAGTAAAAATTATCGTTTGGAATTTTGCAATCTTTTTCAAGATGCAGAAAGGACCGAAATTATTAACCATGATTAATGGGGGTGGATGCTGTCTGACGGATATCTTTTGTAAGAACAATGCCAATATAGAAACGAAATCCGTCGTGCAAACGAATTAGTAAAAATATAAGTGTTCAAGACAATCGAGATTATCAAAATAATTTACATTTTCGGGCATCCTTATCTGTCATGTTCATAAATCTACCTCCCGATGCACTATTGTAGGACCATAATCGAAGAATGTCTTGGTCATTAATGACCATAAAGGTGTAAAAAATTAAAGTGAAAATCACCAGAACATCTGCTAAATTTAACGGTCCATGAACAAGGAGTGTAGAAAAAGTCTTAAATCGCTCACTCTTAAGGTGGCTCAATACAGTTTCTCGAAATTTTTAGATGCAAATTTTAAACAGGGATATTAAGCATCTAAATGTTTCGCTAGAAGTCTAAAAGTGAATGTACTTTGCACAAAACATATCTAGAGCGGAAATCTGTTGCGAAACAGGGTTTAATCGTGTTTATATCGCAAACGAGTTCGTTGACCCCCAATATTTTTTCATCGAACGTTTACTAGAGATGCTTTATCTATAAATTTTTTTTTAAAAGATGTCTGTAATGGGCGATATTTTTCTATTTAAAAAACACACGTTATTTTAGCTTATTAAAAATTTTTCCTGTTTCAGAGTTCTTTTAATGCTTTTTTACTGATAAAGCATCTAGAGCGTAAACGTTTTATGAAAAAATCCCTTTTTATAAAATGTGCTTTAATAATCTTCATGTTTATTAACACGAGAATTTTTGCGTTTTATGTGACGCCATACACGCCATAGATAGTGGTTTACTAAATTTCAAAATTTGGCAATTGAAGTGAGTTATTTGTTTCAGTACTATATGTGTTGGCTTTGTGCTTGCATTGTTGCAACTATATGTGCAATTTCATGTTACTCGTTCATCCCTGTGCTGGATATTCGTTAAAGCATTTCAGGCTGAGAACCATGCATGCAATCCCACAAAAAAAATAAAGTTCAGTCATTAATACAAACCCTGAAAATGGGGTATCTCGCTGTTTTTCGTGCTTTCCATTTTCTAAAGAAAGTTTTCTGCCAAGTTGAATATCAGCTTTAATCACATGCATATATTAGATATATTGCGCCTTACGTTGAACTATTCATGTGCCGAATCGAATGCAAGTGAAGACTAGCTCGTTAACATTAGGTTCAGCTGTTTCGGCACATGAAAAGTGCGACGTCTTAAACAGGCCTTACTCGCATTTCCTCGATTTCAAACCAAGGGACTATTAGGTTTAACGAAAATAAACAACTTGTAAAATGAGCCTATAAATCGAATACAAGACTATAAATTTGATGAATTTTAGATATAAAATGCCTTTTTCGCAATTTCGCATGAACGAGAGAAATATATATATTTTCAAAAACAGAATTCTATTTCCTCTTGGTTCTCATTGTTAAGTTACGACTGCTGCACGAAATAGCGAAAAATATTTTCCCCGAGCCGGCGCGAAGCGCCGTGCGAGTGTACTAATCCCGCCCGGAGATTAGGAATTACACCCGGGTATTCTGACTGAACATAGGCGAATCCAAAGTTGCCCAAATTTCATGGACGTTCAATGGTCATGGTAGTTGTGCGCATGCGCGAAATTTGAACGAAGAAAGAACGGTCGTCTACAACTTGCTGATTGGCTAAGACAAAAAGAGACTGTGAACTATTTTTAAAAAATATAAAATGAAATCATGCAGTCAAATATTAAAACAATAATAAAAGATTTAAAGATCATCACAGCACAGAAACAGTTGGTGAAATAGGAACGACTGGTAGTTTATAATCTTTGAAGTGGTAGGTGTCTATATTTTGCTTATTCAGTGTTTGCTGTAAGAATGCATTGTTATTTTGACAAGTACGAGCTTGGTATGTCGTTTTACAAGTAGCTAACCGACCGTTTATGGCTTTACATCATCGCTTAAATTTTAAAAAGAGTTCTCAAAAGTGTACTTCAGAGTTTTGATAAAACAAATATCACTTTGCAGCTTATATAGTCGCTAAAATCATTGAATAAAATAAAAAATCGAAAAACAACATTCGACGAGTTTAGTGCTTGTATGGTTATTATAATTATTTGTGCTGTTTTGATGTTTTGAAGGTTTAGTTATAGAAATGTTTAACACTAACTTAAACTGCAACGTAATGCAGCAGTCTTGATTTCTGTTCACCTTTACGACTGTCTTTGTTTCCGAAAAATTTGCACGAGTTATTTCATAATATTAGCGTAGAAAGTTAGGTCTGGGTAGCGCACAAAATATTTTGCTTTGTTTAAAATGGCGAGGGGTTGCTGCATGCATGTATTTCTAGTCTTTATCTTCATTGTTTTGGCCAGAGATACGTGATATTGCTCCACGAATTGCTCCACGAGTTATGCTTTTCAACTATATGCGTATTTCACTATTTTTTGCTTCCGAGTAAATTTTGTTTATCACCTTGTGAATTTAGTGTACTTGTATCTGCGCTCGCGGATAATACAATTGTACTAACGTTATATTTTAGCCCTGTTTACATGCACTACACTTATTTTATTGGCACACCATAGCTTAAGTCCGTATATCACTATATTTATATACCCAATTTTATCTATGCTGAGGCTACAATACAAAGGCCGCGAGCATGCCGATTTTGTGCAAAATGGTTAGCAAATTTCAAGAATTGTATACAAAAGTTATATACAAGCAATGCTACAGATAATTTCTTCATCTTGTTACACACGAAATAAATCTCTGTATGTGTACACGACAATACAAATCGTATTCGCAGCTGTTTGCGTACTAATGAACTGCAAATGAGCGGGAAATTTTGCGAAATTATTTTGCTTTCGAAATTGCTTTCGTTTGCTTCGCTTTATCACTTGATCGAACCGTTGAAAGTATTTCTTTGGGTATTTTAGTGAATTATAGTTTGTGGAGTCAACTGATCGAACCGCGGCAATAGGCTAAATTCTTGTTTCTTTTGATCAGTCTTTGCATCTAACATTTTTCTTGCAGAATGAATATTGAATAGTAGATGACTTATCGCAGAATATCACAATTATTTAGACCTGGGTATAACACTAACCTTTTTTCGGAACAACCCTAACGCCCTGCTCATCGTCAACCAACAATTCTTTGATAAATACAGGTGTTGAAGCGGCGTATTTTTCCGTTTAAAACTCTGTGGGACTCACCAGCTAAACATGGCGAAGAGTATAAATAAATAAAACAATTAGACTCTTCCAACAGGAACCACATGCGTGCGATAGCTCAAGTGCGACATTTCACTAAACAAGACGCTTACTCTGAAATCATATACTTTGCTCATACTGCAACTATAAAGTTGCAGCTCCATTAACAGCAAATGAAGTCTGCGGAGGAGATCAGCTCCGAAGTAAAAAATATGAAATATGGTTCTCCCTCATTTATCATTTTGCATGCTGGCACAAACAACGTTCCAGTTGATATACCAAGTGTTTGTGTTAAAAAGATGAAAAATGTGGCATTAAGTATTGGCAAAAAGTTTCCTAATTCCTCAATTGGCATTTCCAGTATTACGTTAAGGCATGTCACAAAAGTCAACGATGGGCTAGAAGAAATCTGCAAGAAATATGAGTTTAATTTCATCAACAACCGGAACCTGGATAGTTCATGCTTAAATGGAAGTCAATTACATAAGTAAATGCTAAAGGTTCTGCATATTTAGCTACCAACTTCATCCATTTCTTACGTGGAAAAGTCTCCCCTGGTCCTGACCCTATTGCTCGCCAAAGACAAGGTCACAGCCAGGATTTTTTCAACAAGTCGGCTCGACTGAGCCTCCTGGAAGATATTTTGAGCGTTATGCTGAGCCCTCAACGACCGAACAACCGCCCAAGGAGGACATGACAGACATAAGGAGTGACCCAAATGAGATAAGTAATGACGGTTATTGTGAATTCTCTCTCTCGCCGACTTTAATAAACTGAAAGGGTTAAAAATTGCTTGCTTAAATATTAATAGTCTGCTAAAGCACATTGATGAACTTCGAGTATTTATATTAAACAACCCTATAGATATCCTAGCGATCAACGAAACAAAATTAATGAGTTGGTCTCGGATGATGAAATTAGTCTACATGGCTTTAACCTTATTCGTAAGGATCGCAATAGATACGGAGGCGGCGTATTAATTTATATCCGTGAGACTATCTCGTTTAGCGAACGGAATGACTTACTTACACGACCCTTGGAAATGATTTGTATAGAAATTAACAGACCGTGCAGTAGGCCAGTTTAGTAACTACATGGTATAGACCTCCTACAATTCAGATGTTCACTCGTTTGATGATTTTGAATCTTTTCTAAGTAGATGTGACTTAGAAGACAAAGAATTATTACTATTAGGCGATCTAAATTGCAATTTTTGCAAGTCTCCTCCTGATCCTTTCGTGCGTAGACTGCATTTTCTTTCTTGCGTTTATCAGCTTGATCAGCTAATTAATGAACCCACAAGGGTAACGAGAACGTCAGCAACCTTGATTGATTTGATTTTTACTAATAGAAAACAGTATATTGTAAAATCCGGTGTTTTTCATCTCGGCATTTCCGATCATAGCTTGATTTTTGCCGTCCGAAAATTTTTTACTCCAAAATTTAGTCGAAACGTGAGATATGTCCGTAATTTTAAACACTTTAATGCCTCGGACTTTCTCAATGATCTTTCCCCTGGGAAAATGTGGCACAATATGAAAATCCTAACGTTTGTTGGCAACTATGGAAATCTCTATATATATGCAAATTCTTGATCTACATGCCCCATTTAGAATCATGAGAACCCGAGGAAATTCCCTCCCTTGGATCACATCAAATATCAAAAATCTAATGAGAACTAGAGATTTTCATAAAAAGAAAGCTGTAAAATTTAACTCCCAATTTCACTGGGCAAAGTATAAAGAAATCCGTAACCAGGTTAACTCTGAACTGCATAAAGCTAAAAAGAATTTTTTCTGTGATAAATTTAAGGATTGTGCCCAGACTAATGATATTAAACAAAGTTGGCATAACAATAACCATCTTCTGGGTAAAAAACACAATTCTGATATCATTTCCCATCTAAAAACTGGTAACATCATTACTTCTGATAAGTCAATGATAGCAGAAGCCTTTAATGACTTTTTTGTCAGCATTGGGCCAAAACTATCCGCCGAAATTGACCCCGTCTCCCAGAACTCGTCAGCCAACCCCATTTCTGATCTGGACCGACGACCCTTTTCACACTGACTGAAATTAGCGAACAAGAAGTGTTTCTTCGTCTAACTAATCTCGAAACTTCAAAATCATCTGGCCTTGACTCTATCCCTGCCAAGGCACTTAAAATATCTGCTGAAATTATTACTCCCTCTCTTACCTGGATTTTCAATCGTTGTCCCCAAACGGGGATTTTTATTGATGACTGGAAAAAGGCTTGGGTCGTCCCTATTTATAAATCTGAGGATAGAAAAAGATGTGAAAATTATCGCCCTATTTCAATCCTACCGGTTATTAGTAAATTTTTGAGAGGTCAATTTTCAACCAACTGTACGAATACTTGAATTCTAACTCTTTACTTTTCAGATATCAATTCGGGTTTCGTCCTAAAAATTCAACCCTAGCTGCACTAATTCAAATGTGTGATGCACTGTACGAGAACATGGATAATGGTGAATTAAATGGGGTCGTTTTTGTTGATATCCGAAAAGCCTTTGATTCGATTAACCACGAAATTCTTTTGAAAAAAAGAAAGTGCAATTTGGAATTTCTAAATTAGAACTAAAATTGTTTGAATCATACCTTTCTGATAGGTCACAAGTGACGATTATCGATGGGGCAATGTCAACACCCAAAAGAATTGTTTGTGGGGTCCCCCAAGGTTCTATATTAGGCCCCCTATTGTTTTTACTCTACATAAATGATTTGCCTGATTGCCTTGAGAAATCAACCCCATGCTTATATGCTGACGATACACAGATCTTCTCTTCCGCGAAAGACTCTGTTGAACTTAACTTGAATTTAAATCATGATCTAAATAACATTACTCAATGGCTGGTTACTAACAAACTCCAGCACCACTCAACAAAAATCAAATTAATGTATGTCGGATCTAATCGTAACCTTTCTAAAATTATTAATGAGCCTCCCGTCATGATTGCCGATCAACCGATTCCTAGAGTACACTCAATATCGTGCTCGGGAGTCAAACTTGATGAAAAAATGAAGTGGAATGAACACATCGAAATGATTTGCAATAAAGTTGGAATGGGTCTTGGAATATTAAAGCGAACCAAACACTATGTTCCTGTTAATATTCTGATTTCCATTTAAAACGCTTTAATACAGCCTTACTTTGATTACTGTTCTCCCCTTTGGGGAGTTTGTAATAAAACACTTATAGTGACGATTTACAGGAACTACAAAATCGCGCTGCTAGAATTATTGTCAGTTTTGAGACTAGATCTGCTGACGTTCTTCGAACCCTTGATTGGGAAAATCTGGAAACTAGAAGGCTCTTATCCAAGGCAATATTCCTCTATAAAATACTGAACAATACTGCTGCTACGGCCTTGAAAACCTCATTCATAAGTAGGAATACTATACAAAGTAACTTCAACCCCAGAAATTCTCGATCTGATTTAGCTCTTCCAAAACCAAAAAGAGAGTTTCTTAGAAGAAGTTTTAAGTATAGTGCCGCCAGCCGTTGGAACAATCTTCCGTCTGAAGCCAAGCTAGCTTACTCAATATTTACGTTCAAGAATCTTATAAAACGAAATATTCGATGTTAGTAATTAGAATATGAATTATTATTCTCACTTCCTTAGCTCCTGGGTTACTCCACCAGAAACTTCTGTATCTTTGATACCCCTCTTGATTTTATAATTATATAATATAGTGTTTTTTTACCATTTGTAACTTTATGCTGACGCCCCCCGTGGAAATCAGTTGTAGTAGCTGTCGGGGCCAGCGTCATTAAATAAATGTTAATATATAATGCGGTTAGGGGGGATCAATATAACCAGGGAGCATCTCGGGGAGCACCAGGGAGCTCGGCAGCATCTTCATAGTCCAACAACGACTGACCATGGAAGGTCGTCAGGCAGCTCTGATCAATACGTCGAAGATTTTGCAATTGAATGGGATTGTGATGATATTTGTAGCCATATTACCTCTGGAGATATTGTTTATGACAAGAAAAGATTGTCTTGGGGAAAAACTCTGATAAACTGAAGGAATTCGTTGAAAATACCCTCAAGCAATTTGGCAAATGGCGAACACATGGCGGCAGCGCTCGAAGATTTGATATAGTGAAGACCTTAAATTCATTGTTACATCAGTGGTATCCCGGTAAGCTGAATAGTTTAGTTTTTAATGGACAAATCGGTGAACATGCCAAAGTTATGTTCAAAAACCTATGCGAAGCTATATCTATATCTAGAGATCCGATAAACGAATGTTGGAAGCAAACTCTAGCTCATTCGAGCATGGAGAACGTCGTTCTTAACATCGAAATTTTGCAAAATAGAGTAGACGCTATGCAATCGTTGATCAGTTCACAGAATGATTTCTTGCTGGGGGCCCATGATTTGATGAATGAAGTATCTAAAATGCGCTCGGAACTTGATGAAGGAAAAATCAAAAATCGAAAGCTCGAACAACAAGTAAAAGTCCTTAACGATAAAATCATGCAAACAAGTTCAAATCACCAATGCGAATCACCAAAGCCCTCTATTGTTGAAGCGAGCATTCCAACCAATGTTCAATTAATCGATCATCGTGAAAAACAAAAATATAAGCATTCAAAAGTGCAATACACTCCACCCGTCCAATTATATAAAGAGAGCCTTAATAATAGTACCAGTTCCGCCCATGGACAGTCCTACCAGATGTCGACTAGTTTGCTGCAGTGTATAATCTTGCCGATTCCCTTCCCACGCAAATTGAATAATATCGTAAAATGCAAAATAATAATATAAATATGCAATCTGAGTCACCATTAATTTGCAGAAGCGACCTAGTAACCCCTGCCAAGGAAACGAAACAGTCAAAAATCCGTTTAACAAGCCGATATAGAAATCCAAACATTAAAAAAGTGCCATCACTCCAATTCGAGAGCGGGAAACCCAAGTATCGTAGGCGTAGAGGCATGCAGAATAGCGGTCGAGGGTCAATGAATACCGTTAACGAAAATACGAGTAATCAACCAAATAACACGCTCAATGATTCCATCGTAATAATCGATAAGCCCGCCCTAAAAGAAGCGTACAAACCTTGGCCTAGAGCAAACAGAATTCAATCTCAGAAAACCAATGACCAAAATAATCAAATTTCCAGGCATAGGCAAACAAACCCTTTCAAGAATTTTAGAAAAGATCACTATCCACCCCATCACAAGAAGACACAGAATCCAGGAACAACTATGCACAATCCCCAAGAAATATCGAACTCGATGCCGACGTATATAGCGAAACTTTTCCAATTAAGGTCAGAATTTCAGCTCGAAAACACCGAGTCCTGGGAAGCTTATCTACAGTCAGTCAACCATACTTTAAATCAATTTGGAACACTTGTCTAGGTCAGACAAAACGACCGAGGCCAAATTTAACCCCATTTCCACTGAGCGCCCAAAGAAAGAAATCCCAGTGCTCATAAGACAACGAAGCCAAACTAACCATAATCGTGGATGTTTTCGAAGATCACCAATTTTCCGGCAGTTAAGATCTATAAAACGTACTCCAATTGCTTACGGAAATGAAGTTCCTATATCAAAATACTTCGTTCCATCCATCTTACTCTCAAATGTGATGTCGTTGATCCCAAAAATTGACGAAGTAGCATGTGTCGTGAAGCAAAATCAATGTGAGATGGTTGCTATAACTGAAACTTGGTTAAAGGATTCAATTCCTGATTGTTCGATCAATATAGAAGGATACCAATTACTTAGAAGGAACCGTAAACAAAGAGATCACAGGGGCGTTTGTCTCTATAAAAAATAATATTAAGTGTAAATTCCTAGCTGATCTCCTACCATGACGATCATGTGTGTGAGTAATGTTACAGCCAAAACGACTTCCCCGTGGTTTTTCGAGGATAATTGTTGGCGTCTTTTATCACCCTCCAAATGCTAACAATAGTGAAATGCTCGAATTATACAAGCTGTGGAATAATTTTGCTGGGTGATTTTAACAAACTTGGTTTTAAACACGCTGCTAAAAGTTTTCAACTAAAGCCTATTATCATGCAACTTTCCTACCAGAGGGCCGAATATACTCGATCAAATTTTTACCAACTTGAAAGCTTATTATAGTTCGCCAGTTGCTGGCCCTCCTTGTCTGACCACATTACTATCACCGCATTTCCCGAATTACAAAAAGCGGTGGAAACACAAAAGAAAATGATTAAATTTCGTGATAAGAGAGCTAGTAATGTTGCTTGTTTAGGGCGTTTTCTAAGAAATGTCCCATGGGATTCCCTGCTGGCATGTTATCACTCCAGTGAAGATAAACTCTAAGTTTTTACACAAGTTATAAATTACTGTTTAAATACAATCATGCCAGAACGAAAGACAAAAGTACAAGTCAACGATCGCCCATGGATGACGCAGGAACTTAAACGTTTGACCCTGAAAAGGCAAAAAGCTTTTACCTCTGGAGATACATTTCTTTTCAGGCTGCTACTAAATAAGGTAATTAGGGAAAGAAAAAAGTGTCGAAAACGTTATTATAAAGCCAAAATGCAAAAACTATCCGACTGCAAACATAGTGATTGGTGGCATAAAGTGAAGTGTTATAAGATTCTTTACATGATACGCGAGGTACGAGATCTTTACAATGGTTTTAACTAAAGTTCACTAATGTTCTCTTCTTTCTCCGTTCTTCTCTTCTCTTCTGATTATTCGTCCTTTCGGATCTCGTTGTTTTCTGTTCTTGTCTTCTTCGTCAGTTCTGTCGTTGAGCTTCCTAACGTTTCATAAGTTAATCTTTACTCCGCTAGTCCACTGAAGGTTGGGCTGTTGTGCACGCCCTTTTATAATGAGGGTTCAGTGACTCTTGCATACGTCATCAACCATAGTGGGCTGATCCTTATCCAGCCAATCAGCGTTGTACATGTAACCAGTGGGTTGGTCTTAGAAGCTCGTTCCAGCTCTCATATCTTGTTTATTTAAGGCGTTGTCGCACTAGTCGAGTTGGTCTTCTGCTCAATCGATCAATACTTAAAAATGTTCACAACTTAAAATGTTTATCATCAACAACTAGTAAAATTTACAAACAATACGTCTGTGAACAATATCTTTCAACTTAAACTATTTTCACTCTTATTTTATCGAATTGAACTTTTGATGACGTAATCTATTACATGCTTGACCGAGCAACATTTTTAACACAATTGATTGACATATGAACTTGAATGGCCTACAGCACGCACACTTTTTTAAAGAATGCGACCATTTAGATAAGTGAAGACTTAAGACTGTTTATCCAAGTATTTGTTCTGAGAGGATTATAAATATTTTCCTCTTATTACTTATTTAACCCCACGATATGTCATACATGAAAGGGAAAGGCGATCAATATTTGCTAATGGCCGAAAATTATATTTACTCAGGCGTCTTGTGGCAAAAATCATTCACTAATCCCTGTCATGCTCTTGATATTTCTATTTTTGCAGCTATTTTTATATGCATATCTCTAAACACAATAAAGCTTTGCGTAACAGAAGGTTAAACTATCCGGTCTAAAACCTAACCGGAAAAATCAAGAAAATAATAATCAATAATCAGTCAATCATAAGAACTATTTCCCATAATAACGATCCCAATAACGGTCAAAAATTAGCAAATAGAATTAACGAGGCATTCATTGGCGTAATGAAGGATTACTCACCCTTACCCGTGGACCTGCGTTTCCCTTATGATACTGATGAATGTATTCAAGTTACTGTGGAGTCAGTAGTAGAAAAACTTCTGCGAATCAACAAGTCTAAAGCAAGCGGTCCGGACAATCTACCTGCTTGGTTATTGAAAACATATGCTGATGTAATTGCCCATGCAGGTGTAACAGATGTTCTTAATTCTTCATTTATTGAATGCAAAGAGCCGAGTGTATGGAAAATCGCAGATATTTCTCCACTTCCAAAAGCTCAAAATATCGAAGACTTTAACAAAGACCTAATACCGATATCTTTGACGTCAACTTTCTCCAAAATTGCTGAAGGTTTTGTTATCCAACACGAATTAAAACCTAATCTTTTAAATATTATTTACCCTAAACAATTTGGATTTATTCCGGAATCATGTACAAAACTTGCCCTAATTTTAACGCTCCAAAAATGGTTGTCCGCTACTGATGGAACAGGCTCCGCGGTTAGAATGATTTTGTGAGATATAAAAAGGCTTTCGATATGGTTGATCATAACCTTCTGGTTGCCAAACTGTATGACTATGGCATAAAACCAGCAATTATAAATTGAATTGTAGATTCTTTACGGAATCGGTTTCAAAGAGTGAGAATTGACTCGGATTGTTTCTCAAATTTTTTACGCGTTCCAGCAGGTGTCCCTCAAGGAACAAAACTCGCGCCCTGGCTCTTTCTTGCTATGATTAACGACCTCCGACTTTCCGGCGAGCCCTCAGAAGATATGTGGAAATATGCAGATGACACTGCAATTTCCAAAGTCATTCCGATACATGCAGCAATAGCGCACTGCAGCCAGTTGTTGATAAAATTGTTAATTGGTCTGAACAGAATGAATTACATCTACACCCCGAAAAATGTAAAGAGATGAGGATTCAATTTGCCAAGCACGAAGGTATGTTTGATCCAATTACTATGAATGGACGACATCTTGAAATTGTAAAATCAGCGAACGTTCTGGGATTAATCCTAACAGATGAATCCAAACACATACAAGCGGTGGTTGCTAAAGCTTCAAAATGACTTTATCTTCTAAAACAACTGCGACGAGCTGATGTGGAAGAACAATATTTAATTCATATTTATAATGCATGTGTTCGATCAGTGTTAGAATACGCCTGTGAAGTCTTCCATTCGAATCTTCCTACATATCTATCTGATGATCTGGAACGAATACAACGACGTGCAATGAGGATTATTTTTCCTAGTATGAAGTACAAAGAGGCCTTGTAACGGGGACATCTGGAGTCACTCTATGATAGACGAGAATACTTATGTAAACGGCTTTTTGATCAAATAGAACATAATCAGAATCATAAATTAAACAATCTTTTACCAAGTGTAAAATCGGGTGTTTATAATAATATTCGAACTATAAGAAAGTATGAACTCCCTCTAATTAAGACAGATCGTTTTAGGAAATATTTTTCCCTTCTCAAGCAATGAAAGTGACATTTTAAAGTAGTAGATTTTAGATTGTATACGTTTTATGACCGTTATTCCAAATCAAATGTATCTATCTATCTATCTATCTATCAAACAACTTAGCATCCAATGTGGTATAACAACTGGCTAAAATAGACAAAACACTTCTCGTTTGATGCTAAGTGGTTAGGAAGAATATATGTTGCCTTTAAAGCAAAGTTCTCATAAGCATATAGTTTTTAGTTTATAAATCGCAATCATCGGTGATGGCCATTGTTGGTGATACATTTCTTTATTACACGTGAACCTATGTTGGTATGTAAAGGTACACTTATCAATATAGAACAAAAAGCAGAACATAGAGAAAATAAATCAAGATACAATAAGAAAAATAACATATTCCATCAGGTGATCGCCATTCTACAGTCAGCTGTTATATTATTTTTGCGGGCATCAAATACATATATGAATGCGTTGAAACTGATAATTTTATAAAATCACTATTATAATGAAGAAATAATAATGAAGCAGTTATATAAAGTATTTGTTTTATCTTAAATAATGGACTATTTATATATTATAATATAAATTGAGGCAGCTAGGATTTCACCCGAAGTTGAAATATTGTGTATTGACAAATTGAAGCCCTGGACGATCGACACACTGCGTTTTGCTGCATGGTTCTCGATAAACTTAGAAATTTTTCTAATTTAACAAGACGCCTGCATGCTCTGCCATTAACTGCGACGCCGGGTAAGGTAACTGTATTTAGCCACGGTGAATTCATCAGGAAATACAAATGTACAATTGATAAATAATACAACTGACAATTATCCATAACGCAATCAATTTTACAAATATAATAATATACTAAAACCTGCTTTATATACATGAGTGCGCCGTGCATAATGTCAAAAAATTTAAAAAAGAAAATTTATTACCGAGAAGAGAAAAAATTTCTACAACCAGACCAAAAGGTATTAAGAGAATTAGCTTGTCTGAACTCAGAATAGGAAGATTATTTCATGTAGTGGCACCACTATAACTGAACGAATTACATAATTCGAAAAAGGAATAGCAAGTTTGCCAACTGTGTCTCGAAGAGAAAAGCTTGAAACAGAGCTGCGTTCAACAAATTTTGAACGAAGATATTCTTGAGCCAAACCATAAATCAATTTATATATATACCATATAATAGCCTTTTGAATATGGCGCTGTATTTCAAGATTTTCCCACCAAAGGTCTTCAAGAAGACTATCAGCATCAGTAGCGTAGCCAGCCTGTCGATTGGTCCCGCTATGCTAATATTTTGGTGTTCACTGACTGTGAAAACAATATATTTCTAAAGATATGAATGATTATCATCAAAATTTACATAGCGTCAGGCTGGCTACGCCACTGCATGATCAGCATTAGCTTCATAGCTGTGCGATTTTGTAATTTTTATTAACTCGCCCATACTCATTTAGCTACTTTAATATGCTACCACGTTGTTCCACCTTCAGAAGCCCATCGTACTTTAAAAAGTATAGACTTTCACTTTGTCTTACACTTTGGAATTCGCGCTTATATTAAAAGCTTTTGTTCATATGATACTCTACAAGTATTAAAAATGTAATTAAACCTTAACTTAATCGAAAAGCATCAAAAGAACGTTTTATTCGTGCCACGTGGAGGAATTTCCGTATCAGCCGCATGTTCACCTAGAACTGGGCATGGATTTGAGATGTTGATCAGATTGTAGTTCATTAAAAATCAGATTAGTCTATTTATTGACGGCAAAATTGGGAATATTGTGATTGTTTTCAAAAAAATATGGACGACAATGACTTCCTTATAATTTTTTTGCGGATATATTTGCTGAATGTTAATATGAATATGCTTTTTGTAATTCAAATTTTCGGCCGGACAATTAAATAACCTCGCACGGCGCTTCGCCATATTGAAACCATGAAAAGGGATTGGAATAATAAAAAATAAAAGTTAAAATATTTTATATTAAACGTCATGATTAGTATACGATATATCAAAATTATGTCAGGCAGTCCACCATATTGAAAACTTATTCGTTATTCAATGGCTTGACCACGCGGAATAATAGGCTTGGATCGACCATTGCACCCGCCTTAGGAGGAAGTCTCCGATTTCCGGCTAAGTTCCAACGTTTAAGTGACATGTTTCCAGCTCCATCGCAACTCAAATACGCATCATGATTGTCAATCTTTCTGTTTAAGCATGGAAATACAAAATACGGCTTATTTGGTGGATCAAGCTCGTAGTATGTAAAGTGTGCCGCATCTTTATCAGGAATCTGTATATAAAAAGAAAGATTTGTGGTTTATTTCCGTCCTTTGCAGCGGCTCCTGAAGGTATATAAAATGGGAAGAGAAACGCTAGACTGTATATATTTAAAATTGTGAAAATGAGACTTAGGTAACTGGGACTGCATAGGGTTCTGGCGAATGGAAATGAGAGATAAAGTCCTCAAAAATGCGACATTAATTTTAAATTTCGCCGACATGCACTTACAGTTCTAGGCTTGAAATCGGAGTGGCGATTGTTGATTTGGAAGTGGGCAATTTTCCTCGGAAAAGTAAAAGTAGGTATAAGGAAATCGCAAAAAAATGCTTGACCTAAATCAGCAGTAAATCAGACCATGTTATTTTGGATAGAATACCTTTATAATATGATATACACTGGCAAACAACCATACCTTTGCTGCCGTCACACTGCTTTCTGAAGCATCTACCTTGTAGAATGAATCTTCTTTTTCGAACTTGATTACAAAGAGTTTCTCAAAAGGATCTACTTCATGGAACTCGATATTTGTTGAAGCTGAGGTATGGAGAAACAATTGTAAATTAAGGTTAAGCAACTAATTACGCTTCTGGAAATTGAAAATACGTTTCCACGTGCAGTAATATCAAAATAAGCACACAAAGTGAATTAAAATTAGTTCAAATACTAATGGCTTAGCTAACAACAGATTTAATAACGATTTTAAACGGAGATTGAGTTTGGTCGTATACGTTTAATACAATAAATTCTCTTAATTCTGTTCTTAACTAAGCACTCCCTTAGCAGTTCTTAACTAAGCACTCCCTTACTTTTAAATTTAATTCACTTTGTAGGCTTATTTTTACAACCCCAGGAAAGAGTGCGATGAAGATTCATCGGTAATATTGTTGAACATAATCTTACGTTGCTGTTCTTCAGTTGCAGCTACAATAAAAGTTGTAGAATCTAAAAGGATTAAGAAATGATTAGAACTGTAGTAATCATAAAAAGACCAATAAAATTAAATTAAAAGGTGTTTAGAAAAAAAGGCAAACACTTATTTTATGCCTCTGGGACCGGGATTACAATGAACCTTGTCTATCGTGTTGAAAAAATTGGATATTCATGATATTAAACTTATATTTTTGTACACCCTGTATACACTTTGTGGCAAATAAGTACCTATATAATGTAGCCTCCTCCTACATTGATGCAGAATCGATTTGGTCATCCGGCCTGTGGAATCGAATCTTGCAGTCGCTCATTTTACTAATATTAAGCCTGGTTCCATTTAATCGTAATTGTCGTGAACATTAAGTCCTTTAAGACTGGTTTACACTTGTCCTAGGAATCTGGGATTCCCTTTGTCTGAGATCGCTGGTATGCAAAATGCTTTGTCTATCGGAATGTAATACAATGGATCTCCGATTCTTAGGAACTACTGTGAAATTGACGTTGTAACTGAACCGGCTGCGAATTGTGCATGATGTTTCTTCGGGGTATTAATTATAATTATTAACCGTTCATTAAAATCTTACTTTAAAACAAGTCCACTCTTATCAATTTCAATATCTTATACTATTCCTTTAATATTTTGCACTGGAAATTTAATTTTTTTCAAAATCCATATTATGAAAATAGTGTGGATGCTTATTGGATAATATCCATACTAATGGCGATTCTCATACTATGGACATAGTATTCTTTATGGGTGTATAAGTATCTAGTTAAGCATTCTGTATGGGTGTATAAATATTCCCCATTTCTCTAAATAAACATAATCATTTTGGCGCACACTGATGATGCACGCGCAATGCCTGACGGTAGTAGATTATCAAGCAACTTTGAGTTGCGATTCGCCTGCTTAGGAGCGATTTTGTTTGTAAGAAAACCTTGCCGATTCTTTTTGCTTCTTTGTTAAACTAAATCGTTCCTGAACATGGCGAAATCACAACTCAAATTGATCTTGATAATCAACTACCGTCACTCATTGTGCGCTTGAAAGCTAAAAGGGCCGGGAAATGGGAAAGGTCTATTGTCACATGCACATGCATGTTCCTAGTCTGCGGGGAAATTGGGGTATTCTCAAATTGAGGTATGTCTTTCTTTTCATAATAATGAGTACATACGAATTATAAAATATCTCAATTTGAATGGTCCCTGCAGCTATAAATATATGTGTGTAGGTGACAAAGTGTCACGAGAGTGTGTGCTATATGTACACCATGCAGTGTGTGCCAGACTTAAAGATTAACCGTTACCTTGAGTGGAAGATGCAGCTTTGGTTTCTGTGATGCTGACGAATCTACCTCCGGATGACCGTAGTCGAAGAACCTCGTCGTTTTTTATGACAATATTTTTTTCGGAAGTCTAAAATTGAGAACGCAAATAAGCACCTGTTAATTATATAAACTTTTTTTGTAATCGGGAAGGTTTTGGAGAGTAGACTAGATCATACTGTGATAAAAAATACACATGCATTCTATAGCGCTATGCTTTGAAGTCATGGAGTTGAGACCCGTTTGTACAGCGAACGTTTTGGTATTATACTTTGTTACACGAAACAACTTTCAACTAACAACGCAAAAATGTTTCGATAAAGCTTTCTTGCGGTCTGAATTTTAGCGTTTCCTGGAATCTGATTGGCTACGCGAGCTGTCCGTATGAGGCCGTACGGCCGCGCGAGTTTTAAAGCACGCATGCCCGGGGGGGGGGGGTTAATTAAAAACAATAAATCTATTCTTTACCAGTTTAGTCGGTCCGTATAGAGAAGTAATTCCCTCGGTCTCAAAAACGTGAGACCGAGGAAACCTTTTTTAGACCTTGGGAAATATTTCCCTATCCAGACCTCTAATCTGGTAAACTGACATGTATACTACGCGTCGAGTACGGTAGCTAGCAGCTATAAATGAGCCAGTTCGTAACACAAAAATTGTTTCGGAAACAAGTTGAAAGTTTTCAACAAGTTATCAACAAGAAAAAAGTTCGGAAACAAGTTATCAACTGTTGAAAGTTTAATCCACAAAACATTGTGGCTCATATTTTTGCTTATTCTTGCGTTGCGAGTTGATGTTGAAAATTCTCCTGTGTAACATACACCGGCTAAACTATTATAATTATTAAATAAACTGGTGCAGAGAAATTATGCGGACATTTTTCAGAATAACTTTCATTCCACAGTTCAGAGTAAGCCTACCATCTCTCTTCACGCTGTCTGTTGTGCCTTCCATATTCTAAAGAGATGAAGAAAAATTACTTAGCGGTATAAAACTCTTTGCAAAGTTAAATCGTAGGTAACTCAGAAATACAACTATTATACTATTCTGTCCTTAAGGTGGCTCCCTACAATTTTAAGAACTAATGATTCAGAACTAATGATTCAGATTTAAAATTTTGGCAAGAGATTTCTTGCTAAAGGAAATGAAAATTTCGAGATATATTTACCAAAATTTTAACAGTCAGAAATTGTCCATAAGTATGACCTCATTGCCGTTGTTATGGTAACAATGGCGATTCAATATGGCCAACATTTTACCTATTCACGCATTTTACTCGAAAATAAGTTGCCAGCGTTGCCACCGGCGTAGCCAGCCTGACGATTTAGTCATGCTATGCAAATTTTACGTTATTATCATTATTCATTTCTTTAGAAATTCATTATTTTCACAGTCAATGAACACCAAAATATTAGCATAGCATGACTAAATTGTCGGGCTGGCTACGACACTGGTTGGCTTACCCTCATTTTTTATTTTTTGAAACGTTTTCTTACAAGAAAATGGGAAATTTGAGCAAGTTATTAAAAAACTTATGTGGAGGCAAAAAATCTTTATCACGAAAAATCACGTTTTTTAATTTTTGATAATTTTGGCAAATATGAAAATATGGGAGCTATCATTAACAAGATTTTGGTAGTCGCGTAATTATCTTAACAATATAGCATGCATGTGATCATGTTTTGTTTCAGAATGAATTTATTAATACGACTGAATAATGGATTTATTAATTATATATATATATATATAATTAATAAACCGCAGATAGATAGATAGATAGATAGATAGATACTCGAAGTGTAATTAGAATTGCATATGATTACATTTGCATGGGATTTCTATAATATATATATATATATATATATATATAATATATATATATATATATATATATATATATATATATATATATATATATATATATACATCGATTTATTAATAAACGCAAAGTCACTTTAAAAAGTCTTTAATTCAAGTTTAACATATGTTTATGGAGATGTAAAGTACAAAAAATTGTTTTCTATCGGATAATTGTTATCGAGCTTTCCACAGTAACACTGAGTTGTGTATTTTGTACGGGCGTACACGTAGTTACTCATGCCATTGTGAAATCTTAGCGGAGCCTTTTAATTTGTATAATATATACACCCCACATCATGCATCAATTGAACTCATCCCGGCCTATCCAACTCATTCTCATTCTCATATCCTATTCATTCGTTCTTTCGGTTTATAGGCATCGTTTGAATGATTCAGTCAAACTTTTACGCGTGCGTGTACATATTTACATTAAAACGTGACTGTCGAAATTCACCCGTAAAGGCCTGTTTATACTTGCAATTTTTGCTGCGATTGTTTTCTTTGAGGTCATAGTGGAAAACCGGATTGGAACTCGATACTGAGTCGTGTATTTTATACGGGCGTAAACGTAGTTACGTATGCGAATGTGAAATGAGGAAGACTACAATCCTAAGTATTCCTGTCCTACCATTAAGCAAAATAGCTTATAAAGTGTCAGTGAAAATTTGGAAGATGACAACGATATCGTAGAAAAGCAGACGTTTGAGTCGAGTGACAAGTCATCAGTTAAGAAGGGCAATCACCATGTCGTGAAGGACGGCTAAGATAAACAGAAAAAGAAAAGAAGAAAAAGGTAGTTTACTCACTATTTTTGATTAATTCTCTTGGATATATTCAAAAATATTAAAAAATTAGCATTAGACCGTGCTCACGTAGAACCGGTCAAATTTTCATTCGTTTTCACCTTGTGAACATATTCGAACCGGACGAATTCGAGCACGGTTCCAAATATGTCCGGTCCCGTGTGAACGTAGCCTTAATCGTCACTTACGTGTATGTATATTAATATATATATATATATATATATATATATATATATATATATATATATATATATATATATATATATATTTATCATTTATAGACCTGGAGCGAGGGGAATTCGACGAAATATTACCCCCAAGGGAAGATATGTCCCGAGGGATATATCTTCCCGAGGGGGTAATATTTCATCGAATTCCCCGAGCGGAAGGTCTATAAATTATATATTATATCGAAACAACGTGTAGGCAGCGCAAAAGCTGGGTGAAATGGCTTCTTTTGCATCCATTTTGAAATTGTTGACAACCTCGAGTCGTGTGCGAGGCATCCACGCGTGGTACACGCAAACTCGAATACCCCGCTGCAGCGGTGTATTCGACTTTTATAGCATAATGTAAAAAAATTCGATGGAACTCCATGATTAATTTACTGATCACGTGGTACAAATCGAGCTTTCTGATTGGATGATTTACAGTTGAGATATTTAATGACGCATTTCTTATCACCATTAAATTGATGTTCTTCCTGAGAAGCGTCACAGAGATAAAAACATATTTACGAAAAAAAATAAAACTTTAAATGGAAGGTTTCTTAGAAGGTCTTTGATAATAGTTATTGATCAAACTAGGCTTCAATATGCCTTTTAAAAGCAATTAAAGTAGTTGATAGCTTTGCATCTGTAGAGAGCGAATTCCATGTTACAGCCCCACTATACTTAAAGGTTTTTTTAAGATGTTCGCTCTTAGGTTTAGGGATAATCAAATCAGTTTCCCTATTTCGTAATTCATAGTTATTTTGAATATCATTCATTCTAATAAAGTACGCCCTTAGGTTGGGAGCAGTGCGGTTATTCAATACTTTAAATATTAAAATAGACTTAGTTTTGTTATGTCTTTCTATAATATTTTTCCAAGACAGAGCCTGGAGGATATCAGAGGAACGAGTTTCATAAGATGCCCCTGAAATAACTCTTGCAGCCATGTTTTGAAGCTTTTGGAGTTTATCTCTAAACACACTGCCACATTTATCCCACAGTGGCGAGAAATAATCAAAATACTGTAGTATTATTGAATTATAAATATTCAATAAAGTTTCTTTCATTACGAATGGTTTAGCTCTCCTCATTACTCTGATTCCGGATCCAATCTTGGCACAAATGTGCTCAATATGTTTTTCCTAATTTAGCTTCTCGTCAAGTTGAACCCCCAAACACCCAAAGGAGGAGAAGCGAGTAATAAGTATATTATAATCATAACTTGTGCATCATCAATTTTGTTTTTGAGATTATAATTTGAGCCGATAAACATATGCATTAAATTCGTTTTCTTGGGGTGGAGTTGTAATATATTATTGGAGAGCCATTGTATATGTTCTCAAGATCCTGATTAAGTTTACTTACTAGTTCATTAAAGTTTCTCGACGATGCATATATTTCGGTATCGTCAGCATATGAACCGGGTGTAGTAGCCTCAAGACAGTCAGGCAAATCATTAATACATAATAAAAATAGTAAAGGCCCCAGAATCGATCCCTGGGGAACCCCACATACTATTTCCTTAGGTGGTATGACCATTTGCTAGGCATACTTGTTTTCGTTTATATAAATAAGATCGAAACCACTCTAGCTCCATTCCTTGAATTCCAAATAGCTCATTCATTTTGGTCTACAGAATTGGGTGATTTATTGAGTCAAAAGCTTTCTTAATGTCTATGGATACAATCCCATTTAGTTCACCGTTATCAAGGTTTTCCAACCAATGATCACAAATTTGAATCAGTACAGACAACGTAGAATGTTTTTGTCGAAAACCTGATTGATACCGGGACAAAAAATTACTATCAATTAAATAATAATATAGTTGTTCAAATATTGTTTTCTCAAAGATCTTACTTAATACAGATAAATAGAAATTGGTCGATAATTCTCACATTTACATCTATCGTCTGATTTGTGAATGGGTGTTACTCGTGCAATCTTCCAGTCATCTACAAAGATTCTTGTTTTGATTGACAGATTGAAAATATAGGTCATGGAGCTATGATTGTCGAGGCAATCTTTAGCGATCGTGCTGGGATTTTATCTAAACCAGTTGCTTTTGATGCCTTCAGCCTGTTTAGGTTATTCAATGTACTAGTAATACTGATTGGGGAGAATGAAAAATGGTTATCGGATGTTATTAATGATCCCACTCTCCTCAGAAGAGCTACTACACTCTGCAGCCAATGTAGGACCAATGCTGATAAAAAAATATTCAGTTGTTCTGCTATCAGAAGAGAATCCGAGACAATGTGATCGTTAATAACAAGTTCTGCAATGGTAGTTGATTTGCCTCTCTTTCCCAGCAAGGAATTAATTATTGACTAACTTTTTTTACATCATTCAGTTGGGAGCACTGCGTTATTTTATTTCGAAAATATGTAGATTTTGCTTTTCTCATTTCCGAATTAACTCTATTTTGATCTCTTCTGTATATTTCCCAGTGAGTATTAGAATTAAATTTCTTAGCACGCTTTTTATGAAACTCAATCCATGGAGCCTGAGAGGACTTAATAAACCTTCTTAGTAAGGGAGCATGTCGATCAAGAACTTCGAGAAATAGAGAATGCCAAGCTTTCCAACAATCATTTGGATCTTCAAATTGCAGAATAGCAGACCAAGGTACATTTGATAAATCATCAATAAAATAATTTTCATTAAAATTTATATAGTTTCGTATTTCTTTGCGAATTTGCCTTGACTCAGGGAATAAATATTTTCGGACGGCATAAATTAAGCTGTGGTCTGATATACCAAGATCAATAACATCACTACAGCGAATATTTTCTGGCTGTGTCACCCTAGTAGGCTCATCAATTAATTGTTGCAAACTACAGGGTGTATAAAAAAAAGGAGACCTTTAGAAATCAAGCTATTGTTAAAATTTGAATGCCTTTTCAATTGCATTTGCACATATGCTGAACCGTAGTGCGTGAAATATTGATGGCGTGCATGCATACTTTAAAAAAAGGAGACCTTTAGAAAATGAATTGACGTTTGTACACAAGATTGTCTGCTCCTGGGAATTTGAGAATAACTTTAATAGCATAAAGAAAAAAAACGACCTAAAAATATTCAAATGACTAAGCACAAATGACTAAGCACAAAAGCGATAACAGTATGCATGGTAGATTGTTTTAGCTGTTTCTTCAAAACATGAACAAATATTTGCCATTAATTTGTAACACTGCGTGCGAGTATTAGGGCTGTTCACATGAGTTAGAATTGACTTTGAATCCGGAATGGCTCAGCATTCCATTTTACAAACCCTGGCTATTAAAATGTTTCAGGAATGAGTCAGGAATGAATTACAACTTGATCTGACACAGATTCACTTGACATTCGATCCGGATTGAAAATTACTGATAAATTGAACATCAAAAGAACTGAATGTCATAGACCATGTCCCTCAACGTGTTCTCCATTTCACTTAACACAAACTATCGTACGCTTGTGCATATCGCAAACTGCTTTTCTGATGACGGCAGGCTGCCCTCGTAATGCATTACACTGTTCAATTGTTACACTCGTTGCTTCATTCGAGTATTTTCGCACGTTTTAAAAAATTGTACTTTTTACTGGTGGATTGCG